GTCACAGCAAATGAAGAAGAGAGCGTGCCGTAAGCCCTGACTTTGCCCGATGTGTGACTGTAAAGTTCTTTCAGGATGGTTACAAACTTTTCGGGCACACCTTTCTTCAGTAAACAGTTCCACAACGCAGATCTATCTACTGAATCAAATGCCGCTCGGATGTCCAAAAACACTACGATTGTTGGCCGCCGGTAGATGTGACGAAGTTCGAGAACTTGGCAAAGCGTAAAGATTTGGTCGATGCAGCCGCGGCCTGGACGAAATCCGGCTTGTTCTTCTCGGGAAAGCTCCTCTCTAGTCGTTGAAAGCCTGCTAAGTAGGACCGACACGAAGATTTTGGATGCGACAGAGATTAACGAGATTCCGCGGTAGTTGCAGCAATCGTCGCGGGAGCCCTTCTTGTGAATCGGAACAATGACCGATTCTCCCCATGAGTTCGGAACCTTCTCCTCAGTCCAAACTTTCGTGAACAGCGATAGGATTTCGCTGACAAGTACACTCCCGCCATCTTTGAATAGAGCCGGTGGTAGGCTGTCGGGACCCGGAGCCTTGTGGCGTTCCAAAGATTGGATTGCATTTTGAATCTCTGCTTCATTTTGGGGTGCTGTGGAGACAGGCCAAGCATCATCCATTGGGGCTGGAGGTGTCACATGAGTTGTGTTGGTTGGTTGAATTGAAGAGCGAAATGCTCTGCCCAGCGACCCAATCGCCTGTGAAGGTTGGTGATCTTCCTTCCGTCTGATTCGCAAATCGTCTGGCTGATAGCGTGGAAATTGCAACCGGTTGCCCTGATGATGTAAAATAGACGGCGAAAGTTGCTAGCTCATGCAGCGGCTTCTATCTCATCAGCTTGTTTTGACCACCAAGATTCACGATCAGAGCGAAGGCTTGCATTTAGCTGTTGCGCAATAGACCGGCGGTGTTCGTTGTACTCTGCGCCAGCAGGCACCGCCTGTCGGCAATCCAGCAATTCCGAGGATCTTCCCGAGATCCAGCTTTTGGGACTGGAACAAAGGAGGTCACAGCTGGACAAACCAGCCGACAGCAAGGCTTGTTGCAGACTTGACCAGTGTTGATCAACATCCAGAGTGTGAGAGAGCGAGATTTTCACGAAGCCTTTGTTGATACTCCTTCTTCACCATTGGGTCCTCCAACTTGTAGGTGTTCAGTCGGGTGTGTTTTGACCTAGGCGAACCACCGAAACGCATGCAAACGGTCGCACATACCAGTGCATGATCAATATCGACGCATGTTGACCAAAATGATCGGCAGTCGCGTACGCTGCCGCGCCACCTGCGACTTATAGCTATGTGGTCAATCTGTGACCAGCGCTGGGTTGATGATGGGGGCGCCAAGTGGCGTACTGGCGTCCAGGATGACGAAAGCTGGTGCTGGAGAGGAATAGTTGATGATCAGCACACAGACTGAGCAGTCTCTGCCCATTGTCTGAGCGAATATTATCATATCCATGCGGTCCCCCGAGGTGGAGACCACATGGCAGCAGACGACCGACACGCGTTGAACTAACCTGCCAAAACAATGATGTCTGTTTTAGGAGCCCTTAGGAGCAGCTCATGAAGGTTCTGGTAGAACTGGTCTTTAACGGCTTCCGAGCTACAATCAGTGAGCATGTAGACAGAGATCACGAATAGAGCATGCTTTTCGACTCGACGTCTGCTAACTTTACAAGAGCCATGGAGCCTCATCGCACGAAGGCGGCTATTGATCGGAATCCAATAAATCAAAGCAGCCTCGGCTCTAGCACTGAGGGCGATTCCAACACCAGCTTACCCAGATGCGGCAGACTTGGCGTCACCAAAGAGGCGTAGATGGAAGCGGGTGCGTGGGTGGAGCGGTGACACCAGCTGGTAGACCGAGTTAGAGTCCTGGAGTCCTGTTTCATTCAGGCGGCAGATATAAGCGTCTCTAGCATGCGTGCAAGTTCAGCTTGCTGACCGATCTGCAGTAATGTGCGTACGTTGAAGGCTGCAAGTTTGAACTGCGTTCCGGGTTGCAGGAGCGAAGATGGGAGACTTTGGGACTGGCAGCTCTGTCTTGAGCACTGTATGGTTGAGTTGGCAGATGTCACGGGAACAGGTTCATCGGTGTAGATGGGGTTGATCGCCATAGAGAAATCAAGTAAAACTGGGTTTGAATGGTACAAGGGAAGGGTAGGTAAAATGGTGGCGTGTGCTTGTGCAGTTGGCATAGTAACCTGAGTGAATAGCATGGTAGCAACAAGACAGCGGGTGAATGGTTGTGGTTGTAAGTCCATGGTTTGTCAGTGGGTGAGATACTACCCGGTTGCCCAGGCTGAAGTAGAGGGTTGTCTAAGGGTCCCCACCCCCAGCCTTTGATCAAGGATCTAACCTACAGGGCAGCAGGGCGATATGAGGGTATCGCAACCCAGTGGGAGCCGATGACCAAACAAGTGGTTCATACGCCTTTAGGACCGTATAGAACCAGGGGCCCAACATGTCCTTGAATTGCAATGCCACTCAGAGAGAGGCAAGGGTCAGTGACTTTATTTAGTGGCGAGTCACATCCGCCAGGTCACAGTGTTGTTAAACGGACATATGTGGCTTTTTATAGGGAGAACGCTTGCCAGGCGAAAACCCACCACGTCCTGGAACACTGCCGCCGAACCATTCGCTGGAACGATATAATCCCGAACCACCCAGCTGGCACCACGAGGAGGTTGTTCGGCAAACCAGCAATGATCAGTTTATCCATACGAAGACTAGTTTAAAAATCTGACCGTAGGATAGTGGAGTTTTGGCAACCGGACTACAAAGAGTTTGTTTTATGTAGTAAGGTTCACCTTCATTCCAATCTGGAGAATCAGGAGACTGATTATGTCTGCTCTTTAACCATTGACCAATCCAGTGTGAGTGAAGGTTCAGAAAACACCACTGAGCCTATCTCAATGGATCGTTCAGGTAAGCATACCATCGCACCTCGTTAAGACCTAGCCTCGTTGCGATGGCATCCATCCTAGTTCTGACGGATTTTATTTTATAATCACGTACCTTTACTTAAATGCAATATGTTATGTCCATTGTCCTAAGTTCTCAAACTATACCGTGCGTTTAAATAATTTTCATCGACCCACAATTAGATATTGATCTCACCAGTTACAGAAACTTATTCCTAATGCAGCTGATTAGTAACTACTTTTGTTTCCCCGGGGCGGTGGTAAAATTTTCGCCCAGACTGAGGGCAGAATAGGCACGTGAGGACCACACAATCGTCTCAGAGTGAAGTACACATTAGTTTTCGATGAAAGGATGGTAGTTTGGGACACTGAGGTAAATGTGGTGAAAGGGACCACAATGCGACGAGTACCGGCATCGCTGGGAAGAACGTTTGCACATGTGACACGGCGCAAAAGTGTTTACGATCATACGTAGTAAAATCAACATATTTAACCCTCAGCTTATCTGAAAATTTTGCCATTTATATTTGGTATCGAACAATCAACGGTACTACGAATACCGCCACCTGTCACACGCCGTCCAGTGCGGACCCCCCGCCCCCTTGTTACACCTCTGTCCTGACGCATTTATGATAAATGGGTGAACCTTAGGAAAAACCGGATGAGCATCAAGCGGCTTATAATCCATCAAGATGGAGCCTTCAGAAATAAAGCAATTGAATGGCCATAGTTCACTGCATGTGCACTTACTGTGCGATTCAAGCTTATGACCGAAAGGGCTACTCGTCTGCTTCGTATTCCGGAGGTCATTGCTTCGAGGCCGCTTAACTGCGGGCGACGTCACACTATATCAGCCCATGTGCGATTGTATGTAGTCGCGTGGCAGCGAAGCGTCGGTACGATGTACCAGCGAACTGTTGACGCTCTTATCTTTCTTAGCCGTGACTATTCGTTTCCCGGTCCTTGTTTTGCTACCTCGCCTATCTTCTGAGTCCTGATGAATCGACTGTGTGGCGCTAATAAACAGCTTCACCGTAAGTCGCACCAGACGTTCAGCGATGGCTTGTGTCTTAATAACGTAAAATGCTTAGCGAGGTAGAAGATGCGGTCCATCAGCTAGCAGTTCATTGGCGAACCGCATCTTTGCACTCCCGAAAGATTTAGAGCGTTTTGGCATCAAAGCCGCCACTGCAGCTACTCAATGAGCTACGACAAAATGCACATTAAGCAACTGTACAGCAGTGCCTGTGTAACGATGTAACTTCATAGCTTACCACTTCCTTTACCTTGGCGCCCCTCCCCCCCGGAACGATACAGTGCACTATGCGCTGTCGAGTGCCGTTAGTGACTGCACGTTAGTCGTCGTAATGTTTGCTAAACGAGATGCGGCCGTAGAACTGCTGTTTGCAGTTTATCAATGGAAACTATATGATTGAGCTTAACGTTGCGGATCATATACACATCGGTACAATACTACATCCCACCGAACAACATTTAGGAGTCAACTGGAGGCCCAACTGTTCACGGACACAGATCATTAAACCTAGGTTGGTATGGCTTTACCTCAGTGGATGGCCTAATAAAATAAGCGTGTCATTCATGTCAAACGTTTGGGCATGCGTAGTTAAAACACCCATTGAGCTTCAAAGTCAGTCCAAGCGTTGCTGGCTGATCTCAATGGCGCAGTGATGAACGCATCTGTCATTAGGTCCAAAGTCCACTAGCAGCCCCGGTTATCTCTGCCCGACGAGTCCAACGGGGGACGAAACCGGTCGGTGTGCAGTGTTGGAATTGGCTAACACTGGAATTCATCTAATTTCGTCCACACAGTTTCACTATGTTCTCGAAAAATATCGCACTTTTTGTTTGATTACCAATTCTTATAGGCGAAGGTCCCAAGAAGACTTTAAAACGTTAAACAACCCGCGCACAAGTTTTACAAGTGAAGGAACAAGTGGAATGAGTAAATCGATAAGGCGTAATGATGACCTGATTCAACTCATTCGTCAACAGACCCCAAAAAGAGTACTTCAACAATCGTTCAATTCGTAAAAAGTTAACTCACTGTATCGAAAAAGAAGTGTACTGTCCTTGGCCAAGCTCTAGCAAACCGCAGATTGGGAACAGCTCCGCTGTTTACGTAATCCCGTAGGTCGTCATTAAGCACGACATAACCGGTTGGCAGCCCTATCGTGAACACAGCCATTCCGCTTTGAGCCATTGGTTCTACACCCTTAAATAAAAAGAACATAAATAGTTTTGAGTCGAGGTATCTGATCATCAAATGAACGAAAGTGGCACAAGATGACCATTTCACTAGTACTTAGTGCCAGGGAACCAGTGTATATAACAAAATATTTTAATAGGACCAGTGCAAGCTCAAAATCTCAGTTTTGCATGTGCCCCCCATTACTTTTGCACCCCGCTCAGTGATGGAATGTTCGCATCCCAATCACCAAACTCGGGGATCATGCTGTTGCTCGGGCTATCAACACCAGGTGGCAATCTTTGGACTTAGTTTTTATGTAGCTATTGGCTGATTTCAAAGCTTCGCACTTAAACTCTGGATTTCAGCATATTAAGTCTATTCGACACATTCACTGATGTTGAGCGGCATTTTGACTTTAATCGATAACACGGGGAAAGTACGGCTTCTGTTGACTTCATCACACTTCCCGAGCAACAGTTTTGGCAGTGTCATACAGTAATCTGAATTTTCACCAGTTGCTTCCATTATAGCTTAGATTAATACCGTTAAGTGTATAAACCACAGTGACTTGAAGGGGAATAATTCATTTCACTTCTGGCACCAGACTCCAGACAGGAAATATCCACTGCCCACCCTGTTCACTTGTGTGTAAACACTGTTTGAATTACGATCATATTTTAGCTAAGCTAGTCATTCGAATATCCGTCCGGTTCGAGATTGGTAGCCGAACTGGTTCTTTCTGAATTAATAGTGGTGAGATTGTCATCCATAAAATGTCTGGTGACGGATTACTGCAGTGCTACCATGGGCTACCACAGGAAGCTTAAGCTTAAAATTACGCAGATGGCTTTTACGCGAAAGCTTCGATCTTATTACAAGTGTTACCTCAGAGTTAGGTGAGTTCCAAGTACTCGGTCGTTGGGATATTTCCGGAGCCTCCAACTCTCAATTCTGCTTTGAGATAAAGAAAGAAGCACATGAGACTCGTCGAAATGATGATTACCTTGTCCAAACAGTTGACAACTATTTGCGAGTACACATTGAACCACCGGTCACCTCAAGTCTGCTTTCAGGCAAACTCCACCACAGGAGGCATGAGTCAAAATGGAACACTAGTGGTCAGGGTATCCATAGTGAGCCCTCTGCGCTCCAAATCTGAACGATACGAAAGATTAATCCTATCCTGAATAGCAACTCCTGGTGCCATCCTTGTCGTAAATTTAACTTGCGCGTCGGACATTGTGCAACAGTATGGACAGATTCTATCTGACCGTAGGGTATTGGTTTGGTCAATGGAAACAGTGAACGCTGTGCGCGAGTCATCGCCTAAAGTGTACGAATACGCAGCTCCACTTGAGTGCCAATGCTAAGACAAGTTGGACACAACCACCAAGTGGTTACTCTCATCTCCTAAAGTATCATCATAGGCCAGCGTGAAGTGCGTATGCATTTCATCTCTCCCACAACTCGACTGAAATCCAAAATTCCTCGACCAGTTGGTTGATTTGTAGCGGGTGACCATCCCTGCAGCGAATACGATCGGGCGCCCATACTCCAATGTCGCGGGATGTCGGTGGACACTGCAGAAAGTTCTAGCCAATAGCGTCGGGCGAATACTGCTCTGCAAACGAGATGACGCTATTCATTTTGGATATCTACTTCATTGATTTCTTTGCTTGAAACATACTTCATGCAAATATATGTATAATGCATAACAATTGATTTCACTAGCATATCGTTGCGATGGGTAATGGTGTCAATACTTCGTCGGGGTAGAATGAACATTACGAGAAAATAGAACAAGATGGGTACCTGAGAAACGCGCGATCCTTCAATTGTCCGACAGGGTGCAGGCGTCGCTGTTGCTGTTTACTGTAAAATTGACGGCGATGGACGAAACCGTTGAAGCTCGGTAGGCTGCGTTAGGCGGTTCTTGCAAGCCAGGGTTACGTATTTCCATTCCATCTTTGACGTTAACCTCGTGTTTGCCAAGCAACCCAATAATGAGTACCGCCATTGCTCTTTCAATTATGGTTCTCACATGGTAAGGGAACTGTCGCTGGTAAGTAACGTAAGAGCTACAATATAGAGATTTTTTCACCACCGATTCTCCTTGGCGACTTCGGCACTTCGTTTAGCAGTTATAGCTTAAATATAGCGCACCTGCCCATTATGTACACAGGGTGCGGGATTATCTTAGCGAGGTGTTCAGTCACCGGTGAATCGATCGAGGAGGTCCAAAGGATTGGTCTGCCCGGTCACCAGCACTGAACCCCTTACATTTCTTCTTATAGAGTTATTTGAAAAGGTGAGTTTACAAGACAACGCCTATTTCACTGGAACAACTGAAAGGCAGTACTACCAACGAGTGTCGCGACAGCAACACGAAAACTTTGCGCAAAGTTACAGCCCATTGCCTTAGGCGATTTCCGCACTACAAGCAGAAGGCCGGCGGACATGTTGAGCATCTTCGTCGTTGACGGACATATCACCGCTTTATGCTGTTTATGTTAACATACGTATTCACCGTTATCAGGGATTTCTGGACTCCATTGGTGCTTGGGCAAATGGTGTCAAATGTGTGTCGGGACAGAACGCATTCAACGAGCAAAGCTGATTCGACAGCGCTTAGACTGACCACTTCTATGCAACTTGGTTCACAATGCCGATACTCGTTTTTCATAGTTATGCCTTAGATATAGGGGGATGATGTGAACGAGATGCACTTTCCATGCATTACTTGAGACAGTAACATTGGTAACACTCTCCATCGTCAAGTTCGCTCTCTATGTTGAGAACTGCGACACCGTGAGCCTTGTCTGCTTCAATGACAATTGAAGGTAGTTCGTTATGAGCTTACGTTTTGCGAATACGCTCTCACAGTTGGCTATGCTAATAGTTCAGGTCAGAAATATGCGCAGCAGATTCCCCAAGTGATATTTCGGTATGAGGCTTAAAATCTCAGAAGGTCCATTAATTTTGTCTTTTAATGAAGCTTTCACAAAATACCGCAATCTTCTTTCGGCTAGGATTCCGCTTTTTCTGTGTTTCCGTTGAATTTACTAAACGGACAACCATACTTAGTATCAAGCAGATTTAACGGTGCAAGAAAAGCATATTTGTTCGCAAGGTCATGAATTGTCTGAAATCTATGATGTTTCCTTAATCAAGATGTCTACGCGAGACAGTATTTCACGTTTCAACTCTGCATCAAATCCCATCGATATATCCAACAATTATTCACCGTCCATTCGTTTTTTGGACGATTCGACGCTTCATGCCTACCCCAAAATTAGCGTTTTTTTGGATTCATCCGTTACAATGTGCACCATCTTCGCTCTGTTCTGAAGTAGGCAAAATCTTAAAGCTGTAAGACTGTCAAAACTTTGCAGATCCAGCCCATTACTTTAGACATACCTGTGCATCCTTGAATTTTATGAGAGCAGATCCCTAGATGCTAAGATACACAATAAACGGAAACGACTGTACCGAGATGAAAGTAAAGATGCAGCTGATCTTGTAATTGCATTTCCTCCTTATTCTGTGAAAGGTGTCAGTGAAGTGACCAGTTCCGAGTATTTCCTCACCACAATATTTACAGCACCTGATCGACTACTCCATCTATATTTTACAGTCATCTGATACTTACACCGGTGACTTGAACCAAGGCATTCAAGTAATATTTAGATGAACAAAGAATGATAATAGCCGGTTCATCGTACAAACAATGTAACAGAATGAACCGTCGCGGAAGCTACATAGACACGGAATGGTTTGTGCGCGACAGAGATGTAGACTTTGAGCTGATTTTGCAGATACGTCTCTGGACACCCGTTCGTTATCGTGCCACAAAGCAACATTGTCGAATGCTTGGCCATGACAGTCGTCAACATGATTTCCATCCTCCGATTCTCACAAAACCAGCGCAGAAATTTCCTCTGCCCTTTTGCTGTTGGTCTCTTCGAAGCTGAGAAACGACTCCTCACCCCTCACTTCATTTTCCCCTATGTGATTCTTGTGAGATACATCGGACGTGCTATCGAAAATCTAGCAAACATAATTGTTTTCATTGACCTGACCTAAGATGTTCATTCTCACCTGATTGTACAAAAGTGGTAACCAATTCGTTGTGAACGTGGTGCGACAAAGAAAAGATGCCGATATTCCTTCCCAGCTGAACGGTCAGCAAAAGTTCGGGAAGAACAGGACCACACATGGCCGATAAACGTACAAACTGAAAACTCCGTCTATTTTTGACCTCCTTTGTCATCTTGGATGTCTTCTCGGTGAACACACAGTGTCATGCTTTGCTTGATGAGAACCCTGACGATATCAAGTATTCTAGCTAAATTTCACGCCACTGATTTTCTACAACTACTTGTTCCATTTTGTCAAATGCCCTTCCTTCAACTCGCCCGATCACTACCTCTTTGCGGTTGAGGAATGACTGAGCACGCGATTTACTGGATTTGTGTTCACATGATTTTGGATTTCGCTTCCACCAGACTATCCGGTTGAAAACGTCCTGCAGCGAAAGGAGAATGCAACATGGGTGTCACAATCTTTGCTCACCATTTCGCAAATCCCGAAAATAACCAATTGGTTGTTAGATTCTTAGCCTCCGCTTTGCATTCGTTCCAGGTGGCACCAATTAGTAAATTCATGATAGATATGCTGGAAGACAGTAGATCCGAGTCGGACAAGCATAGTAAGAATTTCATGAACAATCTTAACAGCCCAGTGACGGACATCCATGTAACCGGTTGATGTGATTGTTATCGTACACAAATGTGGTTGCATTTCCAATTATTCCACTTTAGCGCGCCTTTTCTGCATCTGCATTACAAAAATTTCCCGCCGCATCTCTGCTGTCAATATCGCTTTCTGTTGCCCGGATATCAACATTTGCAGTACCAATTTCCTCTTCGGTCATAATATGATTATCATCCTTCGCTTTTGCCACTTCAGTCATGCAAGTAATTTTGATGAATTTACACTTGGAATTAAACAACCATCCGTACTAA